AAATAAAGAGAAGCTGTAAGTAAATCAATCTCCTGAAAAAGCGAGTCTCGTCTGATGGGACAAGCAACACCCTAATGCAAAGTATCATTCTGTGTGTGACTGCAGGAGACTCGAAACTGCTTTGCACACATTGTCAAACAACCATGATCGTGACGTTTACAGTTTATACCTCCAGTCTGACCGATTTGGATTATTTGCTACTTGGAGAGGAAAAATCACGTTCAAACCGTTCAGGCAATGTGTGCAAAGCGGGGTCTCTAAATCACAGAATGAATGATAAAAGTCTTTCTTTGTAGAGGACTATTGATTTGAGTAATACAGGATGCCTGCGCTTACATGGTGCACCAATTCACTGAACAAGATCACCCCTCGGGCAAGGAAGCATAACGGGACTAGTGCACCATTCATATAACGATTCGATTATCTGGAGTTTTCGATCCACATTTATCGCTTCAGGCACTCCTTAAAGCTTACATCACCTTGTAAGTATCGTGAACTGATCCAAACATGTTAACATTCAGCAGAATGCAGAAATTGATACTCTTCGTAGAGATCGTATTGGACTCCTCCGCTGGAAAAAGGTTTGAAAACTCCCATACTCAACAAAATCGGCATTGATGACACTGTTAGCTGTCAATACAATGAATGATAGACGATAAGTTCATTCATTTGCGCAAAAAAGCATCAAAAAATGAATAAGGACAATTCGGGGTTCCAAAATTAGCCTTCTTGCTGAATTAGCTTGATGACTTGATGTAAACAACATCATTCACTGTCAGAAGTAACGTGCTTGAACTCCAAAAGTAGAAATGACAAAAAGGACTAATGTTAGCAAAATCTTTTCAAGGCTTCAGTGCTGGATCATTCAGTAAAATCAAACTCACCAACGCATCGCACTGCGATTGCATAATATTCCTCTGAAAAGAAAATGAGAAACTTAAAAACTTGACAGAAACCATCAATGACGTGGGTAGCTGCGTTCATACAAAGGAAGACAGTCGACAACTTGAGCAACAGGCAAAAAGTATCAAAAATGAAATGAAAGCACTTTAGCGTCACGAAGTATGATAAAGCTCTGCTACGAAGAAAAACAGCTCAATGGAACTCAGGGGAAATGCACTGATGCGAAGGAAACGTAAATCAATCAATGTTTGGGCGAGGTCCCGCAACGAACCGCGTTCTTTGGGAGCTGTTACGCGTTGTTACAACTCCCCCCATATTAGAGATTCCGAAGAGTGAAGGGGTCGTTCAGAAGCCGACAAGAGGAGGCGACCGGTAGAAAGTTAAGTTCTGTCGGTTCGAATATTCGAACATTCGAATAAGTCGGTTGCAAATAATCGAACATTCGAATAAGTCCTTTTTTTGTTGCGTCGAATATTCGAATATTCGAATATTGGTTTTTTTCAACGTATCGAATATTCGAATATTCGAATACGCCGTTTTTCCAAATGGGCGAATGAACGAATATTCGAATAATTGTCTCTTTTGTATATTCGACTATTCGAACAGTCGAATAATTGCGTTTTTTTCAAACATTCGACTATTCGAATATTCGAATAGTCGAATTTTTCGAATAAATTATTCGAACTCGAATATTCGATCTCAACTATAGTAGACAGGGTGAATCTAGATATCTGGAGCTTCAAGATATGAAACATTTACTTGAGCTGCGATTGGGTGATCCCCTAGGGATTCCCAAGGACCACGCAATACGGCAAAAAACCAATCTTGTATAAAGTAACTTTGCATCCATTATGCACAGGTATAAGGGTATAAGAACCTCCATAGGTAAGATAGAGAATGTAGAAAAAAGAATCTAGAGTACCGAGATATGACGCATCCCCCTCTTAGATCCCCTACCGTCCTCAGCGGGATGTACGTGCATACGGGCCCAAATAACTGCCAAAATTCTTGACCCACGTCTACCTGCTCGAAACTCGTCTAATTTTGAAATTTTCAATTCCGCAGGAAAGTAGGCATGATGGAAATACGGCATATTTCGGCTATCAGTGGTGCATTTGGATCCTTCTAATATGCTCTTTTTTTGGAAACCTTGATTTTTGGTAAAGTCAAGGAACACGCAACTGCAGCAAAAACATGAAGGCTTCAAAGTTTTTGCGAGTTTTACCATGACTTATATTAACATCTTTATGCAATATGATCAAGTTTTATCTGCTTTAGAAAACCAGGCTATGAAAATTTCGGTATTCCTGTGCGCTATAAGTACTCTAAACGCCGGGGGTTTTTCACAAACAAATAAGTATTGCAAACTTTGAAAATCTGATCTATTCTACCTAATTATAGCATAGCCAAAGATTTACTTCATATAACAACTTTCAACGCTTTTTTCACTTGTTTTAGGATATGTTTTTGAAAGTTAGGGGAAAAATTTGGCATCATTGGTATACACAATGCTCAAAGAAATGGCGATAAATTGCAAAGCTGCATGAATCAGAGAGAAAAGCAGCTATCAGAAAGATGAAAAGATTTGAATCGATCGACATTTAAGAGCCGCATGCATTAACATTCCCGTTGAGGAGAGGATCGCAGCTGAAAGGAAAGTTTCATATTTTGAAGCTTCAGGACTTTGGATTTCACGCCGGCTAACCTATCCATAGGTATTCTGCCACCATCCTGTACCATGAACATATCGAACAGGAGTGAAAAGCTGAACAAACCGCATTATCCAGCTTTTTGTATGGTCCCCTAATGATCCCCCGTGGCCGAGTTTTTTCAAAAAGATTTTTTCTTCGAAGCCAATAAGACATTGCAGAGGTGTACCGGCTATCTAACCCAATACTGCTAAGCCCATTGCTGATAAGAACAAATGGGTTTTTGAATTATCGGATTTTTCGATAAACCCCAATTTTCGACTTGTGGTTCATCGCTTCATGACTCCAAAACATTTATTCTTATTAGCAACATGCTTAGCACTGTTAGATTAGATAGTAGGTAGACCTCTGGAATGTCTTCGTTGACTTCCAAGAAAAAAATGAGGAAAAGACGGTCGGCCGTTGGGGATTATCAGGGGATCGTAGAAAAAGCTGGAATATGTGGCATGTACAGCTTGCTTCGTGCTTCGTGCTCCTGTCCAATATGTACATAGTAAAAAATGTTGAGAATACCTACTAATAGGGGTAGAAACGTGAGATCCAGGTATCCGAAGCTTCAAGATACAAAACTTTCATGTGAACTGCGATCCACTCTCGCGGGGATATTAATGCATGCTGCCTTAAAGGCAGTGTCCAGGCAAATCTGGACCCTTTGGCTTCTTGCGTGGAAACTGATGCGGAGCCACTGACTAAACCACTGCCCGAGTTGCAGCGCACGGGATTCACTCACAGCAGAGAAACCAGCCTTCGAACCCGTCGTCCCCGCGCCGTGACCGTAACACTTTAACAGCCTAAATGCACACCACGGTCCCGGCGCGAAACCATGAGGACAGGGTGTAGCGCGGAAACTCGTTGAAAAAAAAAACGCGAATTTTAGACTAAATGAAAACGAGAAGAGTTGTAAGCAATAAAGTCAGAAAGGACAAAGCTCTTAACAACAACGACAAAGTTTGAACGAAAATGGAATGATTTGCAAAAAGAAACCCAAATCGAGAGTCATTACAACCAACTTTCAGCAGTGGTAAGCCGAAATTCAGTTTCGAGTACATTCAACTTGCTTTTTTAAACAACGTTGGTTTTGCAAAAAGCTAAGATGAAACAAGTTAAGCAATCATCAAGGTGAGAATAGTGGTCAGATGAATCCATCGAAAGTGAATCGAAAACACAAACCCTGATTGGGCCTCCCATTACACACCCATCGTAAACACCCGATGACATTTACAAAGCATAATGTATCGACCAGCATGGTCAGCAGGCTTCCTAAACTGAGCAACAGCGCCGAGAACAGGCCATGTCTTGCCACTTTCGATCAAAAAATTGATGAACATATCAGTAGTTTCTGATGCTCTCGTCCAGCTTATTTCTTTCCACGTTCAGTCGATCCGACAGAGGGACGCCGCTTCCACTGGTCATTTTGGTCGAGAAAGTGGCAAGACATGGCCATCGACTACCGGACATTTTGCTCCACAAGGACTGCACTCTGGAAAGTGAATAATATGAAACATTCACAGAAGAAACAACACGCAAAACCGAAACAGAAGAGAAATACATCCAAAAGGGGAAAGGTCCACGACTTATGCAAGGAAAAGAATACCTGATACGAAATTGGAGGTCCCGAGATAAGAATGTTTTCGTTGTTTATTGCGGCGGTCTCTCTCGAAGCTCTCTTTTCCGTGTTTTTCATGGTGTCGTTGATTTCATTTTATTTATCTTCATTTTCCGTGCCATTCCCTACCCTTCCTACCCTTCTTACCCTACCAACGAGAACTGAAAAACAGAAAAGACAGCTTCGAGAGTACCGCCGTAATAAACAGCGAAAACAAGGGAAAATCACAAAAAAGAGAAGGATTAGAAATTTGTAGGGTTTTGCCAACGAGTTTCCGCGCTACACCCTGTCCTCATGGTTTCGCGCCGGGACCGTGATGTGCGTTTAGGCTGTTGAAGTGTTACGGTCACGGCGCGGGGACGACGGGTTCGAAGGCTGATTTCTCTGCGGTGAGTGAATCCCGTGCGCTGCAACTCGGGCAGTGGTTTAGTCAGTGGCTCCGCATCAGTTTCCACGCAAGAAGCCGAAGGGTCCAGATTTGCCTGGACACTGCCTTTAAGTCGTTCGCCCACCGGTGTTCGGTGTGAGTTTCGGTGACCAATCAAAAATGACGAAACTTTCGGACAACAATCTACTTGTTGCAAAAGATTGAGAAAACTTAAGAAGTGAAAATTATAAAAGGTTGCAAGATTTAGCTGCTAAACCGATAATCAATATAGATTACTTGAGATCGTCCAACTAAATAGAAGATGTTAGCAGATTTCCGACTGCTCAAAGCATCACTTTGTATTTGCTGTAAATGCGCTTGCTTTTTGATAAACTATCATGCTCACCCCCATTTTAGGTAACTATTCAAACGAACAAATGCCACAATGATCTACTTGCTAGAGGTAAGAACCCTTACATTTCGTAAGTTTATGGTCAATGTGGATGGTAAAAAATCTTAGTGTTGAACATAATTTTATTGTTTCTTTGTCATTGTTTTCTGATGTAACTCATGCAGCAAGGTTCCCAAATATCACGAATACAAGGCTTTTTGCTCCGTTTAATGCGTGCAGCTTGGCCGCATCCTGGCCCTCTAGGAGCGATCACTATTCGCTTGAGTAAGGCATGGCACAGAAGAAGGTTTTTTAAGGGCTATCCATTCGAGACTGAGTCGCGAGTTTTCTGAGAATTTCTTACATGGGTTATAAAAATGTGCGAGTGATTTGCTTAATCTTGTAAACAATTGAAATAACTTCCAATTTTTTCTGAAAACCTGATTTAGCTTTGTAACCACTCCCTCTTTTCCTAGATTTTAGAGGTTATAGGTCCGAAAATTTTTTGAGAAGCATCTCAAAACTTTTTGCGGAGCGAGAAAATAGCATTGCACTCGTGAAACCACGGTACTCAAAAAGAAGTGCGTTCGCTGTGCAAAATATACAGGAGCACTAAGAGTATGTACACTCTGTTTGACTGCCCTGCTCTTGCCTCAGAATCTTAAGCGGGCCTATTATCATCCTGAGCCTTCAGCACAGATTTACGGTGCGGAACATATTTTAGATCGCTCTTTGTGAGAGGACTAAAAGGCCGCATTTGGCTCCGGTTTTTGAATAGCAACCAAACAATGTATAAGCATTTTAAAACCATGAAAGCACTGAACCGAAATTGGGTTTTTGGGGTTTTCTTCCTTGAAATACTAGGCTGTTTCAAAAGTTCTGTCCGATTTTTAGTTGCCTTGTTTAACGCAGCTATTTTCTTAGGGTTTTGCGCTTATGGCATTGTCATAAATATCATCGAGAAGTACTTTTCCTGCTCTTTCTAGTGCTTACTGATGCTTAGCGAATCATCCTTTCAATTATAAAATTTCAAGCCCCGAACAAAACTTCAAAATGCAGTCATGCCTCAGAAAAACATGAAGAGACCTTCCGCAGTATTCGTAAAACTGTATATGTAATATTTTATGATGGGTGAGGGGTAATGGGCTAACATAAGCACACTTTTCCTTCGACGTAAAGGATGTCTTACTTTTTCAATTTTTTTCCAAACATAGAAGACAAACTTAGTTAATTAACAGGCAACAACAATCTACATATAGCGACATGTGGTGCAATCAATATTATATTGCAATCAATATCTTGGAGTAAGGCAAGAGCAAGCAAGGACCATCTGCCAATTGGCTTTCTTCGTTTCCGATAGCTAGAAAAAATCGAATGTTAGAAGTCGGCATATTTCCGCACGCGGAGGAATGCTCAAATAATGGGTTTTTTTGATTTGCTCGCAAAAATTTCTATGCATCAAAATAACTCAAATTCTCTCTAGCCTTTGAAATATAGGTTACTCAATGATGGCAGGCAAACACACGCTCAATTCAACAAAATTTGAATTGCTCAAAAGTATTGATTCTAAAAAAAGTCGTAAGAATTTAGGTGAGAAAATCGCAAGTCGGACAGAACTTTTGAAACAACCTAAAGGCAAGAGTTGCACGCAAACAAGTATAATTTTTTTTTGAAGAGCTTATGACATAATGCACCGGTCTCGCTAGCATATCATGTGTGTGAATAATTAGTTATTCAATCATTCATCAAGAAAAAAAACTCTTGATCAAATACAAAAGTTAGTAGCATAAGCGTAATAATCAAAATTTTTACTTATGAAGAAAGACAAAAGACAGAACATTGTTTTTTTTTCAGAAATGTATAGTTTTTGTAGAATAAAATTGCTTTTTTGAGTGCAAATCTATTTTGTCGCAAGCCAAACGCTTGTCAAGAAAACAATGATAATAATATAAAAGGAATATATGGAAATTTGAATGTGTTTTGCTTATTGCTGGTTTGATTTTCACTGTTTCTACTAAACTCTGCTACAGATCGCCGTCGTCATAATTCATGTCCGCTTCAGCGCTGGATTATTCTATAATGGTTAGTTCTCAATAGTACCCTAATTTTGCGCGTACAAGGCGCGGAGTGGTCCTAGCTTTCATCGACCAGCCCGAACACGGCAAAGGACTTCGCAACCAAAGGAACCCCATACCGTGCTGCGTTTTGCCTGACGAATTGTGCGGCATAAGGACCGCTTCTTAAAACACGTCGGGGCGACTGAGCAGCTCGATGAAAGCTAGGACCACCCCGCCCCTTGTACGCGTGAAATTAGGGTGGTTCAAATGCTATTGCTAGAACGCCCAACTTTCGGTTAAAGCTAACGAAGGATGGTGAAGAAAAGAAGAGCAAAAATATAAGTTTTTCCTTCATTCAATAAGCTTAAGGCCTTTCTTATACATACAGTTGCAGCGGTAGAATTTGTCCAAAACTGCGGGATTGTCGGGATTCACGGGATTGTCGGGATTTGCGGGATTCGCGGGATTTGTGGGATAAGCGGGATTTAGCTATAACTTCTTTTAAAATAGCTTTATTTGTAATCTGAGTGAAGATTTGGCTTCAGCTTGATGAGACGAATCTTTTGATATACGGTATGTCCGTAGTTCGTGGTGACGGGGTAGACATACAATGATACCTTGTTGTTTTCTATGTTAAGGCTTTCGTGAACATTTATCACAGTGTAAAACGCGTATAGGAGGTTCTGGTACAAGCTCTCGTTATCGAAAACTATCGCGAAAAATTGGGCAGTTTTCATCTACCCTTATCACTGATATAAGCATTTTATCATTTATCACTGATAATAACACATTTTTGGATCATTTTTTGCATATGGTAAGGAAGGTACTGTAGGAAAAGCTGTGTGAATTTCTATCGCTCTTTCTCTCATTATAAGTGATCCACAGGCTTTTCTAGTTCTATTGCTCGGTGCAATTGGTAGATCCCTCGCTGCAGCAATCGATCGATTTTTCATCGGCACATGCCATTGCTGCCAATTCTTGCCTAGAATGGCATTTTTGCTTCAACTCGCTTCACGCCGAAGCCTGGGCTGAAACTCTGCACCTATATGGAAGATGAACGTGGAAATCGACCGCATGAATTTGAGCCATTCTTATCTGTCGTTGTCATTGATATCATCATTTTATCATTTATCACTGACGACACAAAATTGGATCATTTTTGATATACAATAAGAAATGTACTTTAGAAAACGCTGTGTGAGTTTTTATCGCTCTATCTCTTATAGTACAAAACCACTCACAGAACATGCAAAATTTCCGGGAATTACGCGAAATTCACGTGAATCACGCAAATTACGCAGGGCCATAAGTTCTTTCCGAATGAGTATATTCAAAATCCGAAAACAACGTTGTATTCAGCTCGTCAAGGCAAATCTGTTTGATATACAGGTTGTCTCCAATATTTTGTTTTCAATAATCTAGAATTTGCATGCCGACGCCTCTTCGCATGGGTGTAACGCAACAAGCATCACACATAGGAGACTGCCATGGGCACCGTTCGATAGTACTCTTTCACTAGATTATCGTGCGCTAAACAGCAGCCGAAGACTCTTTCAAAAGAGATAGAAGAGCTGATAAACTCTGGATAATTAAGCTGTTCCAAGTTTTACTAGCCGTAACTTTCTTTAGAACGAACATTTTCAAAATCAGATAGCAGATTTGTGTTCATCTTGTCAAGTCGAATCTTACTGTATACAGCATGTTCTTGAAATTCTGTTTTCAATTTTTTCAAAATTTTCTGCGCGCGTATATTCACAAGGTCGCAACGCAGCGCACATCAAACATAAAAGACTCTATTAAGCGCTGTTGGATTGTGCTACTTCCGAAGATTATCGAGCGCTAAGAAGCAACCGGAGAATCTTTTTGAAAAAAAAATAGAAGAGCTGGTGAATTCTGGAAAATCGCGCTGTCTCAAATTTTGCCCACAGTGACCCTAAAATGAGAAGCTCTACTGCTAAGCAGATGTGATTTTCGTAATCAGCAGGTCGGATAACCCTTATAAGCAAGTTTTCCAAGATGTTCGAGTAATTTCATTTTTTCTCGTTTTACGCTCTGAAGCTGGCCGATGGATTTGGGTCAAAATTTTCATGCTCTTAAATTGTAAAGAAACTTCGCTTATAGAGGTTTTCGAACTCGCTCTCTACGAAAATCGTGGTCTTTGAGGATTACAGGGTCTTCTTGGAGAGATACGGTGAGGTGACTGTAACTGCATCACGAAAGCTCGTAACTTCGCCTCCACCTCTCACGTATCTGTCAAAAAACCTGCTTGCTTGCTTTTCTAGTCAAAGACTAGGAACTGTGCTACCGAACGGTGCATGACTCAGGCTCCAGTCTATAAAATTCGCCGAGTTACGAGCCTATGAAAACGCGTCCTCATGAATTTCGCGCAAAATGTAAAAATCGCGTATTTCGTCGAAATTCCACCCTCAGTTGCATCCTTAATTTGGGATCGCCTCGTCAAATTTCCTAAGTCCTTTTTCGTGTCGTCCTATCATACTACAAAAGCTAGGATTACTACAAGTGCAGCTGGTTGAGCTACAATAGTGATCATTTATCAAATAATTTACTGAACGAGTATATCGGTGGACTAAGATTTGAATGAGGGAGGGAGGGGGCATATCACGGAAACTTTTCTGAGTTGTTGAGCTTGATGTTTGCCATATAATACTTTATTCAAAACCAAATATTTTCTTATAACAACCGGGCTGAACATAATACCGGATGATAACAATGAACGAAAACACGAAAAGAGGCTATAGGAAGCTTGATATAGTATTATAGTATAGGGTCTGCAGGATCGCGAGAGTCGAAAGTGCGTACGGCCATTGCGCTGCGCACGTCTGATGTCACTAAGGCAGTGCGAGACTTATGCGCTTTAACCGGTTCGTTCGATTCATAGGTCAAATCACTACACTGTCCAACAGAAAAGGTGGTGAACCGAATGAACCTGTTGAACAGGATAGGTCCGGCACCTAACTGAGTCGTCGGACGCGCATCTGACGTGCGCGGCGCAGTGGCCGTACGCACTTCCGACTCTCGCGATCCTGCAGGTCCGTATGACATTAGATGTGTTTTTTTGTCAAACCAGTATTTAGACTGAGTAGTGAATGCATCGAGAAATCACTTGATTTTTGTTTGAAGTGTCAGAGAGGATCTAAACTTCATGCCTAGGGTTAAATTTACTCTGATGGGCCACATTAGTAAATACGAGTTAATCGCTTCTTTGCAGTAGGGTGTACCCTAAGGGTAGGGTACACCTTAAAGGCACCGTTCACCCAACTTGGAGTCGATGATTTTGATGCCTAACAGTAGTGGGGCTCCCAACTGTATACACATCCAACTCGCGCTGGCAAAAGTTTGCTTCCGAAGCAAGGAAATTGCTTCGAAAATGGTTCGGATGACAGATTAGCCACGTTAGCTCCTCCCCCTCGAGTGGGCGTGACGTTTGTCCCGCCCATCGGTGCTCGCCCAACCAATCACAGTTCCGAAAAAGTGCTCTGTGGGTTCTGAAAATGGGGCTTTTTCGTGGTTTTCGCGTGCTTCTGACCTGATATTCGGAATCAGGTGTATGAGAAAGACCTGGGACGGCGAAAAAATAAAGGTCGAAATTTTGGGTGGACGGTGCCTTTGAAACGGTGGATGGTGTTAATCAATACGGGTTGATCAATACGGATTAATCGCTTTCCGGGGTAACCCTATCCTCCTCAAAAGATTGTTGATGAATACGGACGACAGGCGTTATAGAGCAAAGTTGCGCCGCATTCCCCTGCGGTAAATCCTGAGGACCATTTTTGTTTTGCCGCCTTCATGCAGCAGCAGGAAAAGAAGTAGGGCTGCTTTTGCCAGTGGATAGCAGACCGTAGAGATAAAAGAACGAAGAATTGATAGATGAATTTTAGAAGCAATCAAAGGCTGAAACTGTGATGAATCAACTGCTGAATTTGAGTTGAAATGTCAAAAGAATTAGAAGAAAGAATTAGTAAAGAAGAGGAGCAGAAGTTCTCCGCCATTAACTCTTCAATTTAAATCGACTTCCTCTTCATTTACCTCTCATTGGGCTTTGCTTTACAGACACTCCTTCTCCATGTTTTATTCTTGATTCATTCTCAAAATCCGTTTATCTCATTTGATCTCTTTATCTGTGGAAAATACAGAGAATGGCTCATTCCGCTGGGTAACGCTCGTGGGGCTGCAATTAGATGCGACGCAACGCAAATGGCGATCAGATATGCCACAGGCAAATGCGACGTAGCTTTGCTCCATAATGCCACGCCGCCGATAAATGCAGCCAATGAACCCTGGGTAAACCTTACTCTTAAGAGTAGGTTTTACCCTCAGGGTTTTGATGAATACGGCCATTGATCTCCTTATGTAGTCTGCGAGTACGATCTCACAAGGAAGAAAGAAATGGTTAGTTGGAGTAGCCCTTCGTGATGTGATGCGTATTATCTTGAAATGCACAAGAATGCTGATTCGAATATCCTTATCTGCTAAGAGTTTCTGCGCGTAGGATAAAAGTATTCTTAACATTTGTCTTAGCGCTTGCAAAAAGAGTGGTGATCATCAGAGTCCAGAAGACAAATAACCAATAAAAATCATATTCTATTCCGCAAAGCGACAAGTTGCCCTGACAGCTAAATGATATGCAAACTGAAAGATAACGTCGAAACACCATGCGTACAGCCAAGATAGCAATGATGTCAGTCAAATTTGCAAAAATTCCACTTGAATTTCCTTCTCTGACCTACGATCAGTAAAATGCTATCAAGAGAGAGTCAAAAGCTCGTATGAAAAGCTTTGCATCATTTGCAATGTAGGAAAAAATTCTAACAAAAAACGGTGTTGTTTTCCTCACATTCGTGTGAGATAAACCAAAGTGCTAGTCGTAACTGGGTTTCAACATCTAGTAGTTCTAGGGCCTCATTTAGACTCGCGATGGAGATCCTGAAAGTCAGAATAAGATCTAAACAGTTCCGCGACACAAGAGGCATAATATCAGCAAAACAACGATAGAAAAGCTTAGTA